TGTGTCTTTAACAAATGACACTGGCAATCTCATATCCATATGTATTCTACATGATACTGGGACTCAATCATTGTTGTTAGAAGGTATATTGCCTTTAGATTCGAGTTCTGCCACTGGTGAGTCAGTTATTGCTCAGGTTATTGAGGATGGCATTGTTAATGTCCCTCTTCATAACATTTATTTAGCATCAGACCTAATTTCGGGACCAGTTGTGGTTGGAGTAAGACCATTCTGCCAATTGAGGGTGTGTCATTATCGTTGGGAAACGATTTGATTGAGGTAAAAGTTGTTTGCCGAACTTAAAATGGTTAGTGAGCCGATCACTGTTTCATCTAAGGATGATGTTCTCTTTGAGGAGAATCCTGATGTGTTTCCCTCGTGTGCGGTGACTCGAGCTCAGGCTAAGAAATTAAGCCAAAAACAAATGATAGATATGGATTCAGGGAACGATATTATAGATTTGCCTCAGACGTTTTTTGGATCTGATGAGGATCTTGTGGATAATTGTCCTACTGATGATTAGTCCATGAGGAACAATGATGAACGTGAGGGATCTGATTCACCTGGTGAAGTTCCATTTACTAAAAGTAAACTGATCATTGAGCAAGAAAAAGATCTGCAGATCTCTTCACTATTTAAATATGCACTTCCAAAAGATGAACTCGAGAAAGTTCCAAATCGTTATTTTTTTAAAAATGGTGTGCTTATGAGGAAATGGAGAATAAGACGGAAAGAAAAAATAGAAAGAAGGAAAGAGAGAAAGAAAAAGACAGAAAAAAGAAAGAGAGAAAGAAAAAGACAGAAAAAAGAAAGAAAAACAAAACATAGGACTGTTAACTTGCAGTTTATCACTACAAGAGTATGATTTGGGGGATAATCTATGTCAAAAGGGTTGATAACATGTAATTTTATGATCATAAGGTTCTTTGTATTGATTGTGTTTGTATACTGTAATGATTATCGAAATGGCATAATCCTTTGAACAATGTATTGTATTTAATGTATATATGTATATATATATATAATATCTTATTTAGAAATTGTCTAAAGCCAATTTTTAATTCTCTAAGGAGAGACTTGTAACGAATTTGTTATTATATATTTATTTTAATATCAACGTTTGTTTGGATTTAATTTATACTTAGAAACATACATGGCTTATACTGTTATATATGTATTGCGAAACTCCCGCCTATTCTCCAAAGTCCCTAAGTCTTGAGTTTGTTTACTCTTCACTTGAGACATTCTTCAAAACAGAACGCCAAAATATCATATAGTGTTTTAAACAGAATGTTTACACATCTACTTTCATCAAGAACTCCCTGAAGAAGACCCCAAAAGAAAGAAAAGATAAGAGTGACACTACTACCATTTACCTCCCCTACATGCAAAATTTCAGTGAAAACTCAAATGCATAGCCAAAAAGTTGAACATAAACGTCCAGTGGAAATTTTACAAAACAATTCTAGTGAAAACCAAAAACAAAATGCAATGTTCGAAATTTTATGTTCCTGCATCAAAACATACATTGGAGATATGGGAAGACAACTTGGGTCTAAAATAAAAGAGTACAAAGACAGTACAAGATTCATGAAAAAATAAAATTCAGCCATTGAGGAACACACCATGTCAATTGGACACCAAACAAACTAGGATAAAACTAAAGTCATTGACACAGACTAATTTTGGAAGACAAGAAAAATTAAAGAATCCACCAATGAGAACCAAGAATAAACAACCAATGACAACACATTCTCCATAATGCACCAAGGTACTATAAAATACCTACAACAGCTTACACACACTGATCTGAATAAGAAAGACAGAAGACTTTCGAAACGTCGTCCTCTACACTTTTGTTTGTTTTTGTTTGTTTGTTTGTTTTTAATTATGCACAAAGCTACACAAGGGCTATCTGTGCTCTGCCCACCACGGGTATCGAAACCCGGTTTCTAGCGTTGTAAGTCCGCAGACATACCGCTGTGCCACTGGGGGGCTACACTTTTGTTTTTTCTACAACAGACAGTTGCCAATCATTCTTGTGTACTCATCATTAAGTCTTTTCCTTGCCAAAATGAAAGTTTAAACACTGTAAATATTTTTTGAGTAGAAGCAATAAGAAAATCAAAAGTAACCAACTACACAAAGAAAGAGTTACAATACATTATGAATTAATTTTTAGATGAATAATAAAAGAAAAAGCATACCAAGCTATATATGCTTTTGGCTAATTATTTGTTTTATTTAGCTTTAATTACTCAGGCGCATGTGCGGTATGCTCTAATGTATTCTCCTTAAACCTTAGCTTAGTTGTTACCAAAGATAAAAGATACACATCATAATTCATAAAAGTAACTGAATGTATAACATTGCTACTGTCATAATTACCATCACTGTTTTTGTGTCGTCATTGAAGAAAACATCTTATATAATATACAGTAAATTATTTTTGAATTTGATCTTGTTTTTTTTACATATATAAGTGAGTATATCATAGTCGTGTAAAATATAGTGCATGATTTAATCATATACCCGGGTAATGTGGTAACTAATATCTAATAGAGGATCCATATTTCTTTCCACTGTTTGCAGGATTCAGGTGTATAAAACAATTTAGCTTTACACCATAAAGAACGATTTCCATATCTGCATCACATTGTACAATATAAGACACAGATAAATCCAAATGGTAACTCCCACAGGTAAAAACAAAATTGAGACCATCGCTTATTTTCTCCACTTTTACTGGTAAGATCATCAGTTATAAACAGATTTGACTTTTCGAGTTGTAAATAGTCACGAAAATTTTCCGTTAAACCTTTGAACTTGTTAAGAATAGTTTGCATTAAGTTATTATAGAACTGTTGAAGTTCACTAAGCAAGTAACAGAGTGTTGTAAACGTTAATCCATATTAAACTGTAATGATATTATATATAATATGATTTTTGTATATACACAGGACCAGCATCTCACGAATTAAAACTGTGACAGACTTACCATCATATATCTATTTTAATATCGATGTCTGCTTGAGTTAAATTTATATTTAGAAATGTACATAACTTATACTGTTAAATCTGTATTGCGAAATCTCCGCCTATTCTAGAAGATTCTCGAGTGTAAGAATCAACAATACATGTGTGTACATAAATATTAGTATATCGACAGTATTGTTGCATAAGCTGAAATTTCGAGAAACCCTCCTCACGCCTATAAATATAATCAACGTGACACGCTAAAAACAGTATATATATATATTATTGGTTTGCTACAGTCGGTACACTAAAACCTCGGATGCTAAATTTGACCAGGAACATCTATAAATTTCGAACACTACAAACCATTTACCTCAGTGGATTGACATTGGACATTAGTATTTTTACAAAGATATTAAATAACTTCAACGGTAAAAAAAGCTTGACCTGTAACCGGCGTGTGATCAGCGAGGACTACAGAGCTAACTAGCTCCCTGTTAAGTGAATTATACCTACATAAACTCAAAATTAGATCGCTCATCGTGAACTCTCGATAACACATCAAGGAAGTTCCAGACTAGAAAGAAGATTCGATATTGTTTGTAAGTTTGTAAATCTTTTGTACATGGATCATTATTTGTAATAACTGTTATTGTATATTAAAACATATTTGTATTAAAAAAGAAAGTGTGTGTATCAGTCTTGTTGTCTATTTAACTACTAAATCTAAATTACAATTCAACTCAGTGTTAGGCTATTTGAAATTATAATACGTAACATAATAAACTGGGAGATGGTTAATTGATTACATCAAGCCACTTTTGTAATTTGATATATATATATATATCCTTATCATTTTTATATGATAAAGAACATTATTAATCCGTTCGGTATATAAAAAGTACCAATATTTGTTGTTGTTTTAACCATCATACTCAATCACGTGTTTTTTTTTCTCGCACAAGCATTTAACGTTAGGCTATGAAATTGATTGTTCTTGGATGTAGCCAATGACGTTCGTATAAATAAGATTACTTATTGATATCAAATCCATGGAAAGATTAAGCTGCTGTTCACTGTAGAATATACAGTATCTGTGATCTTCAAGTTATCATTACTTGAAGGAAAACGTATTTGCAAGAGTTCTTGATGAAAGAATTTTCCAGATCGTCTTGAGTAACCTTAAATCGTATCAATAATTTAACTTTTAAAAACGACTCTACGGGAAGATGAAAACAAGCCAAATACAAGTTATGTCATTTTCAATGCTTTCTCCAAATTATTGAAACACATAAGTGCTTGTTAGTTAACTTCCAAGCTCCTTTCACAGATCACTCCAATCACTTCTCTTGTTCTACATCCTCCATGAAACCAAAGAGATCCTTTACAATTTAGATCACTGTTTTGTTTTTAATTCTTCACTGAATATCTTCTAGCATGATTTTCGACAACCGTGGTATAAGGCTAATTGTTATAAGGTCAATTGCCTTTGGTTTCTTTGGGATTGATATCACTATTGATTTCATAAAGTCAGCTTGCCATTTACTCTTCTCAATCATCTTGTTTCAGAGTGTGGTCAATCATTTATTTTTTCTTTTCCTAATACATGTATCATTTCTGAAGGAGTTCCTTCGATTCCTGATCATTTCCCTGCTTTCATATACCTTTAACTGTTGCAAAGATTTCACTTTTTAGGATAACATGATAACTTTTTTCCCGCTTAACTTTTCTTGTTTGTACACACTTTGCTTTTTTCCTTCACAAGTTTATCTGGTTTTCTATCCTTATCATAAAGCTTTTCAATATACTCTTTCCACTTTCGGTTGGCTTTTACTTCTTCCTCTACCTGTGTGATACCACTTGTATTATTTTTTTTTGTTTTCTTGTGATTTGTTTCACTTCTTTGTGCAGTAAGTCCGATGTTTCTTGTCAGTTGCATTCCTTTTATTGTAGAAATTCCCTGTCCCATCAAGTTTCTATTGCTTTATCAGCTTCTCTTTTCAATTCGATGTTCTTTTTCTTAGATTCTCTTTTTTCTCTTCCGTGTTGACATTCTTCCATTTTCATCTCTCTTCCAAGTAAGTTTGACGACTCGTCGTAATTTGTCTTAGTCTTATTTTCTTCTTCAACTATAGTCATTTTAAAAGTTTATTTATGTTATGATCGTATTATACGTGCACTTCATTCTCACTTCTTATGTCCAAATTTATTTAGGTTATACTTATTCCTATCAGGAATTGGCCTATACATAAATTTCTGTTTATTACTGGTAATCATTAACACATAGATTTAGAATTATATTTTGTTCCTTACTGACAACACATTTTCTTTCTCTACCTTTCTTGGTGTATTTGTTCTCTCTCTCAAGTTTCATCTTCTTTTTTGTTGTAACCCTTTCGTTTATAGTCTATTCTCAAACCCATGCTGAACTGGTCCTATATGTTTTGTTTTCCCTGTTTCTCGTACATCAAGTTATAATGTTTCATAGCTGTAAGGGACTTGTAATCTCCGTACCAGTTGAACTTACAAAGGCAGCCGCTGTAACCATTCCAATAATTTTCTAATGACTTAGAGTACTGTAATCCCTAATTCCTTAGAGACTGACCAAAAGCTGGTTAGTATCTTGCATTCTCTCAACTTCAAGCGATGTTACCTTACACTCAATTTCATAACATATATTCCTGAATACGCTTAACAATGTTGATTTTATTCAATCTCGCTGTCTTTCTTCCTAATATCGATGTTTACAAATGCTACGAAATTCCAGGGTATCATCACAATGTACCTTAGATTGTTTCACCACTCATAGTCTTTTGTGAAACGTTGACAATTTCACTGGCTCTACATATATCACAATACAGTATATAGTCTTTGTCTAGATATTCTATGAATTTCACAGTCTCATATAAACAAATCACTGTAACATTTGATGAAATTCACACCCTTGATGTGTATATATATATATAGCACTACAACAATAAAGAATTACAGTATTATATATATATATATAAGTATTTGTATATATATAAATCGGGAAATACCCCAGTTTCCTCCATTGCAGCTCTACTGTTCAAGATTCGAGCCACTAAGTTCACAAATTCTTATACTTCTATAGCAATAAATTCACACATAGCATCAGTTTTAACACTACTGGATGTATGTTAAATCTGATATCTATACACAATATACATTAGTTAATCAGAGCAAGTTCACAGGTTGATTCTAATAATTAAAGCACAAGGGGATCTGAATTTCAATGACAGTCTATAACATACTGTGAACTTAAACTCCATTGCAGCAAATATCTGTTTAAGGTCATCACTCAGTCATGCAACCTAATCAAAGGTTTATGGTCCGTTTTCATGATAAATGTTTTACCTAAGAGAACAAAATTGAATTTGTAAAGCCCCACGCTATTGCTAAGCACGTTCTTCAGTGGTGGCTAAAGCTTTTTTGTTTGCAAGTAATTTTTGCCATACACACATATTTGACTCAAAGTACCTCTATAGTTTTGTTAGTAGCATCAGTTTGCACAGTGTTGGCTAATATATCCTTAATTTCCTTAAAGCCTTCTCACTGGCGTCATCCCATACAACACATTTTGGACATGATTTACAGGTTAATGCTGTGAGTGTGGTTGCTATTTTCACAAACCCAGGAATATACTTCCTGTTATATCTTACTACTCCGAGAAAAGATCTAACTCCTTTCGTTGTTGTAGGTTATCTTTCATAGCTTTCTTCTACATGGGAAATCAATTCATTTCCAACCATGCGACCAAGATACTTTATGCAGTTTCCCAGAAGCTAATATTTACCTGATTTTTGTGTTAAGACTGCTTTACTCAAACTGACTAGTACTTAAAATCATAAATAATATTCAACGTTAAACTGGTACACAATTAAAAACATTTTATTTAGGCCTATCTATGGCCTTCAAAAAATTGACGACTCTACATGTTTCGACGTTACAACGTCATCCTCAGGAGTAACGTCGAAACATGTAGAGTCGTCAACTTACATAAGCCACATGAGACGTTGTCCATTAACCTCTGAAATATTGCTGGTGCATTACGTTAAATTCAAACAATCCATAATAAGCTTGGAAATAGTTTCACTAATTTACCATGCTTAACTACATTAATTTATTCCCATTTTTTATCATTACATTCATTTGAAGGAAACAAATAACTTATAATTATCTATCGTGAAATAATTTTATCATACCTAATGTTTTTATAAATATTGAATGAATTAATATACAGATTATAGTTTTCGTTTGTTAATAAACTCTTAGTAAATCATTTGACTGCATAATATATATGATTAATCACTATTATAGAATAGCAACACTTATCGTTCTTTCATAAATCTTTGAGGACTGAACTTTCTTTAACATTAGAGATGTAAGTTAAATCACATACATGTTCAAAACCACAGTTTAAAATACGATGTACAAAACATTTGTGTTCTTTCTAACTGACGTCGTTAACATTGAAAGCATACAATGACTAAATAACCCACTTAGCTAACGTTATGTCGAACTTTTATTAAGAAGAGAAGGGATTGAGAGAATTGAAAGTTCAATTTCGTCACAGTCTGACCAGTTTCGTCACAGTCTGACGTGTTTTATGTTCAAGGCGACTGACCAAGTTCAGTTTCGTCACAGTCTGACGTGTTTGATGTTCAAAGCGACTGATCGGCTTGGTTTTAGAAAATATACAGGGCAGAACGTCAAGTTTAGAAAATCTTTTTGGCCTTTAGTGTTAACTGAAACAGATAACACTCTTTTTTGAACGTACCTAAAACATTTATTAATTTATGACACTGTCGCTCTCTGTGCATTTGCATTATATTAAAAATTTAAAATAAACTGTACATAAATTTAATGTTCACTTTACAAAACACAAAATATGTATTGACACATTTCAGTTAAATACAATTTTTGTTCAATTAATCTGTACGTTTCTAAAATGTGATTATCAAGGATAATAAGTTGTCATTATCTAGGCAATTACACTATACTTAATAATAAAAATTAGCTCTACATAAATTTAATGTTTGCCAAACTTAACTAGAGATTTTGTATGTCACTGAAATTTCAAAGTCAATAAACATAGTTATTTCACTTTTTATAGTGATACAAAACAATAAATGTATATTCCCAATACTTGACGGGATATTTCAGCTCAATACATTTTTTGTATTCAATTAGACTGCATGTTTCTACAACGTGGTTATCTGTGTATTTACATTATACTCAATATTAAAAATAAATGGTTCAAACTCATCATATATTTTATACATAAATTTATTATTCATTCATTTGTGTCTTGACTGCTGTCAGACTTTTAAGCTTAATAACATCTTGAGTTGAAAAGGTCAAATTATTACTATTATAGGCATAGTTGATGGTAAAAAATTAAATAAGAGTAGAAAATAATGTATAATAAAACATTACAGTCTATCTATTATAACTATACACATCCTGGTAGTTTTTGTACGGTCCTTATTTAGAACTGAGAAAGTACTAGGTTAATCCGTAACTGTAAATTAGGTTAAAGACTGGTTAAGTCGACACGACACATACACTCTACACAAATCAGTAAGATATAAGTATTCGAGAAACCGAGTTATCTTTGCAGGAATCGATGAACAATGGCAGGCTGATTTGGTAGATCTTTCTAACCTAAGTTAATATAAGAATCAGTTTAAATATTTTCTCACGTCTAGCGACGTATTTTCTAAGTATGCACGAGTTGTTCCACTCAAGGATAAGAAAGGTATATCTTCTATCGACGTATTTTCTAAGTATGCACGAGTTGTTCCACTCAAGGATAAGAAAGGTAT